TAAAATAAACACGAAAACACTAACAAAAATGGAACGAACAGTGGTCACTGGCTTGGAGGGTTCGCAATTAATATCAGCTACGTTACTATTACTGGCGCAGAGCTTTGGGGTCTACTTCAAGGGCTCCAGTTAGCTTAGGATCTGGGCTATCGAAATGTGGTGGCTGACGTGGATAACCAGAGTGTTGTTCAGATGGTTATGGGTTCTTCAGTTGAGAGTTGGGGGGTGCATGATGCAGTTGTTCGAGCCATACAAGAACTGTTGTTGAAGCACGAATGGGAAGCAATTGTTGTGCATTGCTATCGGGAAGCAAATTTTGCTGCGAATTGTATGGCGATCTTAGAGTCTCTCTAGCGCTGCGCCAAATTTGACTTATTGCGCTGGAGTAGCGTGAAAATGTCCTCCAGTGTTGCGCTAGACTTTTGCGCTAGAAAGGAGTTGTGAACAGTGTTGCGCCAGATGTGGCGCAACACTGTTCACAACTCTACAATTTTCTTTTTTTTTTTGTTTATTTTTTTTTGTGTATTATTATTGGTAAATTTTTGTATAATGTGTATTAGTAAATGTATTTTTTATTGTAAATAATTTGTGCAATTTATTTTTTATGCTAAATCATTTTGTATTTTTTATTTATTGATGTATTATAAATTTTTTTGTAATTTTTTAATATTAAAACGATACCATATGAATAAAAATTTAACACACTCAAACAAGTTTATTTCATTAAAATTAATGTTTACAACACACATAAATCATAGAACATAAATAAAAACAACATGATTAAAAATGACTTAACACACAAATAAAAACAACATGATTAAAGATGATTATCTAAAATATATGATTTAGTGCATATTTACAGTCTAGATCGTATATGGTTTAGGGCATATTTTCACTAAGAAAATCTAGACTGTAAATATATACCTAAACCATATACGGTCTAGACCATATATGCCCTAAATCATTTCCAAAATGTGAATATATGCCATATTACATTTTTATTATTTGAGTAATTAACATTTTATATAAGATTAAGTATACATATATACCAATTTATTTGAAATAAAAAATAAATAAAAAAATAATATATTTAATGTAAAGTAAAATGTAGAGATAAGGGTTGGATGAATGTTCAACTCTACTCTAGAGTAAAGTCCGCGCTAGAGTAAAGATAAGGGCTAGAGATGGCCTTAGGCCATCTCCAGCCCTTATCTCTACTCTGGTGCGGATTTTACTCTACTCTAGAGTAGAGTTGAACATTCATCTCCAACACTTATCTCTACGTTTTACTCTACATTAAATATATTATTTTTTATTTATTTTTTTATTTCAAATAAATTGGTATATATGTATATTTAATCTTAAATTTGCCCCTTTTTTTTCTCTAATGAAATAAACTTGTTTGAGTTTGTTAAATTTTTATTCATATGGTATCATTTTAATATTAAAAAATTATAAAATAAAATTTTAATACATCAATAATAAAAAAACACAAAATTATTTAGCATAAAAAATACATTACACAAAGTTATCAGTAAAAAAAATACATTTATTAATACACATTATACAAAAAAATATCATTTAGAATACATAAAAAATACAAAAAAAAAAAAAAATCTGGTGCAATGAACAGTGCTGCGCCACAATTGGCGCAGTACTATTCACCACACTGAAGTAGAGCTATAATGTGGCGCAGGGCTGGAGCAAAATCTTGCGCTATTTTGAAGATCCAGCGCAGGGCTGGAGAGGCTCTTAGTACACTCATGTCCTAATGGGTGCCAGAGGTTTCTTGATCCCCTCTAAAAGTCAAATCGTGACTACTATACAACGTCGTAGGCGTTGTTCATCCACGAAATAGTACTATCTAAGGGTCTCTAAGCTACGACCTCCATTCATTATACCAAAAAAAAAAAAAAATTACAAATTTTATAAAAATATTAAGTAACTAAAAAATAGTACGCATCCACGTGTTTATAAAAAAAAAAATAATACCCTGAAAAGTCCACGGTGTCCCTCGCAGGCCCACGCAAAGAAGTCCAAAACCAACACGTCGTATGAACGTAAACTCCACGTGGCTACCCACAACAACGTAGGACTCTCCTCTCCTTCCTCCTAACTGACACTGTGTCCAGTCGAAGCTCTGTACACTTGCCCTTCATCCACACACACAAACACACACTTTTCTCTACGATTTTACACGCAAAATCGCCTTCACGCAATCCAATCCCCTTTGCCTCGATATATATACACTCGCGCACACTCATGAATGTGTGGAGCCGCAGTTTTCCGGTCCGCGTCCTAGGGTTTCGTGCGCCGCAGGTTCTAGGTTTTCAGAGGAAAAAATGGTGTCCGGCCGTCGAGCAAAGAGATCGAGGACCGCGGCGGCGGCGGAGGAGGAGGAGTTCGATGACTTGGCCCTCGCCATTGAGAAGGTTCAAGAAGTTCAGGACGAGCTTGACCAGGTCTTTTTTTTTGTCTCTTTGAAACTCTGTCTGCGTTAATTTTGTGGTTCTTTTAGTTTTTCGATTTTTAGTTCTGTTTCTTGAGCTTCTCTTTTTTTTTTTTTTTTT